CTTTTCTCTGCTGTGCTGAGAATCCTCTAACCTTTTTGTTAGCTGACTTTTTTCTTTAATCAAGATTCATGATACATCCCACTGAGCTGACCTCTTCTCTGTTCTTCCCACCTACAGTGATTTGATTACCTTCCCCCCCCTAACTTTCTTCTACTACCCAACAACTGGGTTTGTTTATTTGAAGTCTAGGCTTGTACCCCGAGCTACATTGTTTCCTCCTTGCAGAGCAACATATAAGATCCTAGATGCACTGGGGACAGTCCCACCTTCCTGGGTGCTTCACTCTCGAGTAGCGTTTCTGGTGCTGCCTACTGTGTTCCCCTGAGGTCCCTGACACTGATGCCCCAGAATTTTGTCCTCTACTTGAGCCTATGCAATCTTTTGAGTCTTTACTGTGGTGTGGCCCCTTCCTTTGGTTTATCCCAGGATTTCAACTCCGTCTTGCAGGATTTCATGAACCAAATGGTAATTATATTGCTGGCTCTGACTACAAAACCCACAAGCATTCCCTACAGAATCCTTATGTGACCTACATGCAGAATTAGCAGCCTCTGACCCTTCAGCCACCAAGGCTGGGGATGAATTTCTTCAGTCCTTAATGGATGATCCAACACGTGAGAAGTTGCACGATTTTGCTATTACTCACAAACCTAGAGATTGCCTTGACTCTCATTGATGCAGTATGCACCACCTCAAAGATCAAGGATCTGCCCGTAGCTTCTACCAGTGCTGTCCCCAGTCTTTGGGTAATCAAGCCTGCTAAGGCTGTTGCACCCTCTGTTCGCAATCTTCCTTCTTGGAGACTGGTGGAAACCTGACAAGTTGTTTTCCCTTCCCAAACCGCTATCAGCTCTGTACTCATTTGAAGAGGAATTTGTTAAATGGTGGACTGCCCCCACTGTGGATCTGGCAGCATCCAATCTTGACAGGAGGATGTATCTGTGTTTAAGGACACATTTGACAAGGAACTAGAGGACCGTCATAGAACTTTATTCTTTTGCTTAGGCTCTGTACTGCAAACTACCTTAGCCATGATTTTAGTCTGCCAGTCCCTAGCGGATTGGACTAAGGCCCTCAAAGGGATCTGCTAACTATGGCAGTTGATCATAATAACACATTTGGGGCTCACATCCACACTATAGATGGGTTGTTAGTGGTCTGCCATCTTATTTTTCAAATGAATTCATGAATCTCTTACCAGTTAAAATGAGGAGGACTGTTTGGCTTAATTGTTTCTGCTTTTTCCACCATTTCTGGGTGGCTCAGACAGGTAGTCATGCAAAATGATGGTCTCAAAAATCGTATTCACCCTTTCTTGTGAAGATGCACTCTACTGGATCTGTGAGTGCTTCTTGAGCTTTTTTGGTGTCAAGCAACGGTTTCCCAGATTTGCAAGACATGTCATCTGGTCTTCTGTTTACATGACTTTGAAGTTTTCCCAGGTGGATGGTCAAACCTGTTCTGATGCCCATACTTTAAGCAAAAAGTCCTTCAAGTGGGGTTCCATGAGCTGCAGGCAGTCCCTAGAGCTATTGTTTTTTTTTTTATTGTTTTAGTGGTCTGATTCTCAACCTATAGTTGGATTGCTTTTAAACATCCTGGCAGTTTCTGAATTCCTGTGTCCCTTAGGCTCCATTCACACTTTTTACTTGTCATGCTACTTTGGACACTTGAAGTCGCATGACAAGTTTCAGCACATGTATTTCAGTGGAAGTCATTAAAATCTATGTGACCTAAAATTGCAGCAACTTTAACCACTTGCCTACCTGGCACTTTCACGCCCTTCCTGCCTAGGCCAATTTTCAGTTTTCAGCGCTGTTACAATTGCACGATCATGCAATACTGCACCCATATGAAATGTTTATCATTTTTTTGAGACAGAGCTTTCTTTTGGTGGTATTTAATCACCTCTGGGTTTTTTTTATTTTTTGATAAACCTAAAACAACTGAAAATTTAGGGGAAAAAAAAGTTTTTTTTTTTTTTTTTAGTTTGTTAAAAAATTTTGTGAATGAGTAATTTTTCTCCTTCGCTGATGTGCGCTAATGAGGCTGCACTGATGGGCACTGGTAGGCTGCACTGATAAGGGGGCACTGGTAGGCGGCACTGATGGGCATTCACAGACATCACTGATGGGCACTGAAAGGCAGCACTCATATATGGCACTGACTGGCACTGATAGTTGGCACTGAAAGACAGCTCAGATGGGCACTGACAGATAGCACTGATGGGTCTACACTGATCATCAGGGCACTGATCATCAGTGCCCTGATGATCAGTGTAGATGTCCCCTCTGAGGAACGCCAGTTACCGGCTCTCCTCGCGATCTGTTTGGCGTGACAGCTCGTGAGGAGAGAAATGCCGATAGCTGGCATTTCCCTTTTTACATGCAATCAGCTGTGATTGGACACAGCTGATCACATGACAGAGCCGAAGTTATCGGCTATTTCCGCTGATCGGTGATCACTCCACCGATTGCTCACTGCGCGCCCCTGGGGGTGTACACGCGCGGTTACAGTGGGAGGACGTCATATGACGTCCTCCCAGAATGAGAGAACCGCCTTGCGCCCATCATTTCCTTATATGGCGGGTGGGAGGCGGTTAAAAAGGTTCCTGCATTACTTTGATGCAAATTTCATGCAACTTGAGTGCCATAAACTACTATGTACTATGTAAAGTCACATCTTAATGTTAGCAATTTGACAGCTATGCAACAGTCAACAGCCACTTCCAAGTCGCACCCAGCCAAAGTTGCATAAAAGTTGTAATGTAAAGTCCCAATGGAAAATCACACAACTTTGGATCACACAAGTGTGAATGGAGCCTTAATGGAAAAGAAAATCAGATTTTTTGTGCTTTTCTTGAAGTCTATTGAGAGACACGACCTCTGTGTATTGTCTTGCTCTTGGTACTGCTTGTCACGAAAGTGTGGCATGCTTGGATTAAGCTGGGCTGGCCCACAATTATTTTTTTGCCGTTGTCCAGTCCTCCTGTAGGTGTCAGTATAAGGCTTCATTCACACGGCCTTTAAAAAAAGCACTTTTATACAAGTGCTTTTTGATTATGGATCAGAATGCAACTGCTTTGTTTTTACTGGAGCCATTCATACAGGTGCATAAACATGAGCTGCTTTCTGATCCATAACACAGAATCCAAAAATCTGCATCTACAAACATGCGTTTTACCCATTTGCGCATTTAAACGTATGTATACACATTCGTAAATGCATAAATTGGGTCTAAGCAAAGGGGAAAATAAATTATCATAAAAGCAATACACGCATTAAAACACATCTATAAGCAAGTGATTTACTGATCATTACACTGGATCTTTTCTGCTAGAAAACACTTGTAATAACATCAGTAACATTTTTACGGTCGCGTGAATGAGGCCTAACCCTGCCACTTTCTGAATTTGTGTCCCTCAATGGACTCAAGAAATTTTACATCAAGTATAAATTTTTTTTTAATATTAGAATATTGAATGATTTGCGTGACAGTATGAACTAGTATTACTTATATATAAGCTTTAAAAAGGTAATAAACATAAAAATACAATTTTAGTATGTGGCTGCAACCATTTCCCTAAAGGTCCTTTTGACGTGGGCTTTATCAGTTCAGTCACATCTTTTTTGCTAAGAAAAACTGTTGAATACTGATTCAGGTTGCATCAGTGTACATCAGATTGCACATTTGTCTTCAGTTCAGTTTGCATCTTTTTTTTTTTTTTTTTTTTTTTTTTTTTTTTTTTTTAGGTGTTGAAGAATCTAATTATAGGTGACAAAAGTATGAATGAAAAATGATTCTTGCCTAAAAACTAACACGAGGGGTCGTAAATGGACAGCATTTGTTTACATCCGTTCAGACCCATCTAAATGGAAAAGGATTCATTCTGGTTCTGTGTAAAAAAAAAAAAAAAAAAATATGGACCTGAGCAGACACAGATGTAGGCAGCAGTCAGCCTCTGAGTTTAACAAGCTACTGGCAGTGGGGATTAATGTGCACCTGTGCCTTCTGCCCGCCACCCTAATACTTACCTGAGCCCAATCTCAGTTCAACGCTGTGCATGGAAACTCTGCGCTCCAGGATCCCTCTCTCCTCATTGGCTGAGACACAGCAGCTCCCATTGCTTTCAATCACAGCCAGTGAGGATAGGGGGTGGGCTAAGCTGCACAGGGCTTGGGAATGGCAGTGGATCCAAGAAGAGGAGGATTGGGGCTGCTCTGTGCAAAACCACTGCACAAAGCAGGTAAGTATAACATGTTTTTTTGTTTCTATAAAGGATAAGTTCACTTCTCCTTACATGTTACACCCATATTCAGGGTGTAACATGTTATGAATGCACCGGCCACCGCTCCCCTGCTTTGACAGCTAGCTGGGACCTTCTTTTTTAAAAAAAAAAACGTAGCCATGAGGGGCTCTGGCTGCATCACTTATTCATTTTGAATATGAAATGGCAAGTCCCGACAGCATTAGCGGCTGTTGGCTTGTGGTTCTCAGTAGACTACCACGGCACTGTGGAGCGCTGTGGTAGTGCACTGGGTCTTTCTGACAGTATATCTGCTTGCCCTTACATCCCGTAGGGGCAAGCATATATACGGACAGATCTGCAGGAGACATGCATGCTTTAGAGGCTCCTGCGACAAAAAATAATAAATGCACATTTTTTTACCTGCAAAAAAAGTGCATTTATTATTTTTGTTATAAAGATGAACTTTCAACTGATACTTGAAGGCTTTGTCTCACTGTACTAAAAAAAAGTTTAAAAAAAAAAAAAAAGCATCCCTCCTTTGCTTGTGTGGGAAGTGTGTACTGCTATGATGGTGGGTAAAGGGTTCACTTTTTCTATCAATACAAAAAGCATTTGTTTCAAGACTACTTGGTTGACTAGCCAAATTCTACTATAGGATTTTACACTTCTGGAAGAAATGAAGAGGCAGCTGGCTGCTAGTGAAGACACCATCAAAGAGCTGCAGAAGAAACTCTTAGAAGTGGAACATAAACCATCCTCATCTGCCACTACAGTGGAAATGGTAAGTACTGATAAAACTAATAATGCACTGCAGAGATGTGATTTTATGTGAACGTGCAGAAAATGTATTTTTATTTTAGTAAGAAAAAAGGAAAAACTGGTGAGAGAGACTTCCAATGAGAGAGGGATTTGTAACATGTAAAAAGTAACGGTGACAACAAAAAGTTGCAGTGTGGTCCCTATTTGTTTATACAATATTTGTTACTGATCTGATTGCAGTAATTTGAAGTTTAATTGCCATTGTTTACTGGTCTTTGGACATTATCTTTGAACTGCCACTTCCAGTTTTAGTGGCTAGTGCTTCCTTTCTGTAGAAAACATCATGAAATATGCCCCCCCACACACACATTGGAAGCTAATAATGTGCAGGGGTACCTTACTCTAGCCTTGATTTAGAAGCATTTGAAACCCCTCTGGGCTTTTTGGTAACTTTCATGATGTGAAATGATCATCTTTGTATGGTCGATTTTTGAAGTGAGCCTTTGCGTTACCTGTGCAAGGAAAATCAACCATGTTCACTTACACCAGCTTTGTGCTATTTATACTTTTCATTTGTTTTCCTGCTGCTTCATTTGCCCATTGGATTTTTATATAAGAAGCCCTAGGTAAACTGTTGATCTAATCAGAGATTTTGTATGGTTTAGGACTCTCTCCCCACTCCTATGTGACAGGTATGGCGATTGACTCTGCAGGCACCCAGCTCTGTATCAAGGGTGGAAGAGGAGTGGGATATCTGTACTCTGATAAAAGAGTACAAGGAGTTAGTCTTTCTAGCAGCTGAACAGAGCAGGAGGAGAATTACAGGAAGCATATTTGGATGATGGCAGTTGATTATTAACAGAACCCTCTACCACATGCCTCCTTGTTTTGTTTAGTAGGTACAATCTGATAATGTGCTGTAACTATTGTATTTGAATGGTTGCACAAAAGTCTATCAAGTGGTATAGACAACAGACATGCATACTACTTCTGGCATTTAGTAAAATAATGATCAATCTACAGCACTGATCTTTGTTTAATATACAGGTGGAGAAGGTACAAATGCAGACCACTGAACAACCTAAATCAGCCAATTTGTTAAGCAGAGATAACAGGAAGGGTTATTCTTCTGTAAGAAGTGATGTCTCCACGAGTAACAGTCAGGTTAGTAACTGAATAGGAAATATATATGGGAAAAACAATTACAGTGTACATATACTTGCAGTGTTATTTTTAAAAAGATGAAAGGGAGAATCCTTTCAGAGGAGAGTGTTCTCAAGAGGGGGCCATTTCAGTGCAGCATAATACATAAGCTTGTATGGAAACATCCCACGTAAAAGAGTCCAAGCAGTTGCTCTTAATTTCTCTGCCCTCTTTGTTCAACTGTACAGTTGAGTTCAGCCAGAGAGAGTCTGAAGGTTAACATCTTATGCTATGCTCATTGTAGAAAAAATAGTGCTCTGTAATTCCTATGTTATGAGGGTGCATCCTTTATTAAGTGTTTATTCCTAAAATAAAGTTTTTGAACTTGTTAAAATAAACATATATTCTTAGAATCTAAACATATACCCTTAAAAATAATGACTTCAAATTCATTATAGTTACCCTTTAAGGGACTACCCTGCTGGATTACTTGTTGAATCTGGTAGGCCTGTTCTCATACATGCCATTGCCTGCTCCTAGGCTTTCTTTTTTACCATGTAGAAATGTAGGCTTCACTGTAAGTATGTTATTCCCCCTATACAGACTGCATACAAAAAGTAATCAAGAACCCAGGTTTAGAAGACCCTGTCTTATTCTGAATAACCACTTATTTTGTTCGACAGATGTGGCTTCACTTGTCTATTGTAGATTATTTGTACAAGATATTGCTTAAATAGCATAAATTACATAAAATTAACACAGTGCCTTATACCTCACCAATATAAAAAACCGCAAAAGTGTATAAAACACCACCCATACAAACTGCGTCCACATGTCTTATCTTGGTCTGGCTGTGACACTGCTGGGACTAATAAGTACAAGAGGGTCTATTGACCTTAACAAATGCCCACATCCACACGCCTCTACCTGTTCAAGTCCCCATAGCCTGAGGGTTGTAAGGAGCTTGCAAATTTTTATACTAGGGTGGGGGGAAACCATCAACGCTCAATGAGCCATCGGTTCTCTACTGCTTATAATCAATATTATCAGCATCTGTAACAGTTCCTCTTTAGAAAATTTATCATAAAGATTATTAATGTAGTTCAGTCTCTTGTTAATAGATGACACATAGCCTGAAGTTGCTGCGATAGTTATTCCTCCAAACAGGACAGATAGCTAGCAAAGCGGCAGGAGAGTTAGCAGAAGTGTATCAAAGTAGGCAGCAAGGAGAGTTATACAGAAGCCAAGCAAGCTTAAGCAGACGCCATGATCTGTCATACTGTTTAAGAGATGTGCAGACTGAGAAGCAGCCACCCCACACACACACACTTCCTGGCAGAACTACTATACCCAGTGCTGTGGGAAACATGTACATTTAGAGTACTGCTTTAACTTCTACGAAATGGATACTAGCTTTTATCATACATTAGTCTAACTCTAGTTTTATCTTTCCTTCTTTTCTTATTGTGATACAGTATGTGGTTTTGCTTAAAGCGGAGCTCCACCCAAAAGAGGAAGTTCCACTTTAAAGACTGTTCCCTCGCTCCCTATTAAGGATCTGCACCTTGTGTGGAGGAGCAGGAGGGGAAGCCTAGGCGATCAGAAGCGTAAGTTGTACTCCACAACACCCCCTCCTCCTCCGTGTAGTCTTCTGGGACACGTGACAGGTCCCAGAAGACTACGAGACCATTCAGAAAGCACAGCGCTACTTGTGCATGCACAGTGTGCACCCGGATGTGAAGCTGCAAGGTGTCACAGCCGGGTGCCCACACTGAAGATGTCGGTGCTGGGAACACCAGATGGCTGGTGAAACGGGCTGTGGGGAAGGACACCGCGGGATTGAGGGACAGGTGAGTAGCTGTTTTTTAGGTCAGCAGATACAGTTTTTGTTGCTGCTGACTTTTATTTTTTACAGTGTGACTGGAACTCCGCTTTAAGCTACATCCTGCAGTTGAGGGTCACTGTGACCCAAAGATATATAGTTTTGAGTATTAGCACACATTGTACAGAATGTTGATTTCTCAATCTATCTAATAGCATAATCAATGTTGAGGGGTATTAAATGTTTAATTAAAAAAATCCTCCTGCAAGGTAATATATCGCGCTAGTGTGCATCACATACTAGCACATTGTAAAAGACTTGCCTTAAAATGAAGCTCTCCAGTGGCTTGCTGACGGGGCTTCCATCTTTACAGTCTTCCTTCTGGATTTGTGGTTCCGGCTGTTTCAATGGCTGAGCCGCTATGACGTTACTCTTGCGCATGAGAGTAATAGTCACCGAGTTCTGAAGAGGCAGTATGAGTATGCTATATCTAATGAATCAGCTTCAGTTAGAGGTGGACGCGGCAAAGATTACTGTTCAATAGCTGTAACCCCAGTCATTGATACTTGGGCAAACCTTAAAAATTAAATTTTTTTTCTTGTTGCAGGATGGTTCAGAAACTGTTTTGGACTCCTCTATGATTTCAACTGAAAATGGGGAAAACTAGTAGGTTCCCTAAACCACAGATGGAGATTAGATTTAGCCCAGTAAAGCCAAACAAAATGGAAGTTAAACATCACGGTGACAACTTGCCAATAACTGTGAGAATTACTAGAACATCAAGAAAGAGAAAGAGTGGTGAAATGGAGCAGGTAATTTCATTTAGTCCTAATGCCTATTTCCAAAATTGTTCATATGTAACGCATAAGGCAAATACCATGTGGCTTCAAGTGGTATTTTTCAAAAAGTAGCTAAACTGATTAGGCATGTCCTAGATAAAGATGTACAATATTGTGAATTGGTGAGATCACTGAGAAACTTGTGAAATGACTCTTGCAGTCTGCAATCAGGCATGTTTTTCCATACACTATTAAATAAGAAAAATGTCCAGTCACTGACTCAAGTGACTGTATTATGTGGAATTGTATCCTTACTGGACACCATACTTCTCAGACTTTTGACAGAATGCTGTTGCTTGTTCAGCTTTGAAGCTTCGACAAAGAAAGCAAGATTTCCACTGTTTCACTTTTAGGGTTTTAAACTGGGAAACACCATCCTCTGTTCTTAGTGGGGAAATTGCAGGCACAGCAGGCTACATAAAGAATCAGCAGTTAAATAACATGGCCTTACAATAGTACATTCAGTACAAACACTTGCTTCCTACCAGGAGTTTGTTACAGTGCCAAAAATCTGTAAAAATTAAAATTGCACATCTGCTTGGTGGTTTTTGCCATAGCGCATAAAGCGGAGCACCACCCAAAAGGTGAAGTTCCACTTTAAGCCTTTGTCCCCTGCTCCCCATTAAGGATTGGCACCTTTGGGGAGCGGGTACCCAAATTTGACAGGTACCCGCTCCCACTTCTGCTGAGATCACCTAGGCGATCGGAAGCGGAGGTTGTTCTCCCCCATACCCCCCCCCTTTACTACAGGGCCATTCACAAAGCAGAGCGCTTCTTGCGCATGCGCAGTGGGCACCCTTCTGTGAAGCCGCAAGCTGTCACAGCCGGGTACCCACACTGAAGATGCCGGCGCCAGGGAGAGAAGACGGCTGGTGAAACCAGCCATGGTGAGCACACCACTGGACCAAAGGACAGGTAATTGGCTGTTTTTTAAAAGTCAGCAACTACAGTTTTTGTAGCTGCTGACTTTCTTTCATTTATTTATTTTTATTTTTTGAGGTGGAACCCTGCTTTAACTAGTTGTTTAATTTTTTATGGTTTTATTATTGGAAAATGTGTGTTCCCATTCTAGAACAGACAAGATTGGGCTATTACAAACATCTAAAATAGCTAAAATACAACTTTCTTTCTTGTCTAGTGAGGGATTACAGTGTCTTTCTCCTTTGGGTTATACTGCCCCTTACAGCAGGATTGGGCACTACAAACAAACTGTAGTCCAGCCCAGGATGAACCCTTCTGCTATGAGCATGTTTGTGTTTTGCTAATGCCCTTGGAGGATGGAAGTTAGACTTTTCAAAGCAGAGCTGAAAATAATTTAAAAAAAAACATTTTTGCATGCATTTTTCTTATGTTTGTGATCAGTTGGAGGTTGCAGCCCTATCCAGTGCCAGCTTCTGTTGTTGGTCCTTAAGGCGTCTCTTGAACTGTAGTTATTCCCCAGTTTCTCTTGTTAGGCCTGTTAGCAGTTCTTTGCTTTTGCCCTCTCTCCATTTGGACTGCTTTTAGTCATCCCGAAGTTTAGAGACTTCTTGTATCCCTCAGTGAACAAGAAATATGATAGAATGTTTGTACTCAATGGTAAAATCCTTTTCTTTATTCTATTGAGGGACACAGTAATTCAGAATTTGTTGGGCTATACTGACACCTACAGGGGGATATGACACTGCTGTGCACTGTCAATCAGTCAATGAATGGAGCCTTATGCTTCAGGTGTGATGGCTTGTTACAAGCATCAAAACTTATGTCCCACATTGGGTTTGATGTCCATGCGAGTGTGCAGAGTAGTGTGGTTAAGATGCTAGGACACAGATGTCATAACTAAAGAGCATCTGACTTGCTTGACCTTTGGGGGGTGTCTAAACACCAGCCAGTTTTCACCAGAGCTTCTGATGGTGAAGATGGATTTTGATACATGATGGTACCAGGTCACGGCATTAGGATCACCCCACCTAGGGGTGAATGGGAGCAAGGTGGCTATGGATTGGCGATAGGAGACCAGAGCAAAGTTGCAATCAAGCAAAGGGTTGAGGCAGGCTGCTGGAAGTGACAGTAATCTATGTCCTAGGCAAAGGGTCAAGGCAGACAACAAGCAAGAGAATGGTTAAAGTAAATTCCCAGCTTCATTTCAATGTACGTCTGGAAGTCCTGGCAGGGATTCTGTAAGTACCAATGGCAGTCCTGGCAGGGTTTCTGCAAGTCCTGTTGAAGTACTGGCAGGAATTGTGAGAGCAGGACTTTTACAAATCCTGACAGGGATTCTAAGAGCAATCCATACCATTGACTGAATCCCACCCTTCTTCATCTACTTTGCTGTTAGTGCTTCAGAGCCTGATTCTGACAACCCATGGGGCTCAAAGACAGACTGCCTAAACCCTCTGAAAAGCCTCCCACATGCAAATGTATCCCCACATCAAGTGAGGGACTGATTGCGTAGCCTGGTGGGTTGTTTGGTAGTTTGCCTATCTGGCACTCAGGTGCAGAGAATGCCACTTTAGGCTCACTGGCTAATCCCTTGCCTCTGACACTTCCTTCAGCTTGTCTTTCTAATCTCTCCTGCTATACAGATTAATGCTGCTTGGGTTCCTCCCATGCCTGGGACCCCTTTCTTCAGCCAAACCATCTGGGCAACCACTATTTTCTTCAAGGAAATCCTCTGTCCATAGCCTGCATACTCTCAAATCTCTTGTCATTGGGCATAGGAGGAAGTTCTTTCTATGTTGACCCACCTCTCTTATTTTGTCCCTGGTGTGATCCTTCAATCACCTATAGGAGCTGTGAGTTAGTTTCTTCTTCCCACACCTGAGGGGCTTCACTCACTGGTGAACTGCCATACACAGGACAGGCATATTCAGGACCTGGGACCTATCTACCTGTGGATGGGTCCTTCCATGTATAATCTGCAACCTCTTGCGGGGGATTTTTTTTTTAGATGCCTGGATGCTGTGTCTCTGTTCTGTACTTAATGATGCAACTGCTCTTGGTGGTACTGCCAAGATTCATGCTCCTTGCTCCAAGGCAACCAATGCTCTGCTGGTTTTGGGGAATAAGAAGCTTCAAGGCCTATAGTTGAGGTTGGGGTTCGGTAGGCCATTTCATCAGTGGGTTTATTCTAGAATGTCCCTGTGGTATTACTGACGTGCTTGGGAGGATGCCTTGACTTCATCCTCACCTTTATCTGGTGGCTCTATCTCACAAGTCTGGGAATAGGCCTTGCCTTCATTCCTGCCTTCCCTTGTGGGTTGCATCCCATGCACCTTACCACCTCAATCCCATTGACTTTGTGGGTTCAAACCCCTGCGTTTTCAGGGAAACTCAGGACTTCACACTGATTGTGTTGCTTTTGCTGATACAAGGTCTTTCCTGACTGGGGTCATATTTGGATTGTATTCACTATAGTGTAAACTTTTCTAAAATGTACCACTAAGAGCTTAATCTCAGGTGCGACCAGGTTGAACATTCTAAAGCCCTCATAGGATACTCAAATGCTTTCTCCTGCCTTATCCCCACAAGGATTTGCTACAGGGACAGTTTACAATTGTGTTGCTGCATTCTCTTTACACATGTACCCTTATATTCCTCACCCTTCTCCATGAGTTCCCCAAAAGACGAATACCCTCACATATAGCAGAGACCAGGCAAAAGGGAGCCATTGTAAAATATGCAGGGGAACTTCCATTCCACCAACGGCCCACACAACACTCAATCTCAGAGTGATGATGCGTCCCTTGCACTGGGGCAGGAGCCAGTTCTAACACCAATCTCTGCATCTGATTCTAGCTCTATTTCAAGCACACAACAAGCGGCCTATTTGACAAAAGCAGAATTTTCTGCATCTGCAGTAGGTTAGTAATAGCATTCTTTGTATTTCCTTTAAGTGGTGTTCTTCATGCATTTTCCTTAGATGCAAAATGGGATTTGAAATGCACTTTGGGTTAGATTTGTTTTTAAAGGTTTTTCTGCAGTGTAATTTTAACCAGTCATGGCTGAAATGCTTTTGTGGTACTCTGAAGAAATAAATGACATAACAAAGTCAAACAATTTTGCAGTAATAATTATCTGTTTCTCTAATTGATTTCCTTTTAAGCATACAATGCTCTCAAGCTGCTGGAAAATTAGATGTAAAGAGTCAGATGACACTAGGAACATTTGTCAGGTATTGAGTTCCCTTCATAGTGTGGGTGAATTAATAACCCGGAAATCATTCTGTAGACTCACATTATATGTTTCCTATGTTTATTAAAGCGTCTGTGGCATATTTCTGAAGCCAAATGCAAGCTTTTTTATTTTCTTTTACTGTAAATATGTGAAATGCATTGAAGATTACAGCAGAAGGATCTAAGTGGCACATTGGCTGCAACCAATTTATGAATCACAAGATATATACCAAAGAGTACATCTATTCTCAGGCATATGGAGGAATTTTGAGTGGTTGGTGCACTTTTTTTGGAGTCAGTGCCTTAAAGAACAATTCCACTTTAAGCCATAGACCTATAGATCTAGTAATTCTCTTATAGCTATGGCCACAGATGTATTCTTGGCACACAAACCTTGGAGGGAAAGACCAACCAGGTGCATTTGATCATTTTGTATAATCACTGTTCTCTTGTGTAAGCCAGCACTAGAACCTGCATTCTAGGTAGCCATATGCAGTGTGATCTCTTTGGGAAAGGAAAAGGAGAACATTTATTGAAAATCTCATATCTACCAAATCTATTGCATTGATGGCAATCTCCCACAGAATGAAATACTCCATCAGAATAATTGAAATTGTTACACCACAAAAGTTTGTATTTTGCAGCAGTCTCTGTTTTTGTATGCCATCATCATGTGCCGTGACTGACTGGTGATTTTGTTGCAGAAATTGTTAGCACTTACCATATTCCCATCAATTTTTAGGTAGCTACTATACATATCTGAAAATTACTGGGGAGATGTTCATAGATTGGGTTGTGGGGGAAGCATAGCCAGCACTT